GAAGCATTTCACCAGGCTGCCCGGAGCCTCCTGCCTGCTTGGTCCCTGGCACGGCCCAGCCCTATGTGAAGCTCAGCTCAGGTTACCTGGTCCTGGAAAAGAAGGGTGGCCTCCTTCCCCTGCCCTCACCCCCCTCCCCGTCCCCCCTAGTCCTGGGAAAGTCCTGGGAGCCCTAGAACCACCACTGGCTGAGCCGGGACCCTCGGGGTGCGGAGGGGCCGGGCCTCCTCCTGAGCTGGGTGGCAGAGAGGGGCTGAGCCGGGGCCAGGGCCTGGAGGGTCAGGCACGTGCCAGGACCTGGTTTCTGTTTTTGGTTTGTTGTTGTAAAGAGCCAGACTCCACACTGACTTCTCCATTCATCAACAACAGTTTGGGGCCCTAGTATGTGATCCGAGACATAAATAACACACAGCCCCGCGGCCGCCGGCCGTGACCTGGCATTTCCTGTTACGCAATCGAAAAGGCCACGTTATTTCTGCTTCCCGGCCGAGGCCCAGCTCCCTCCATGGTCACTTCCCGAAGCTCAGCTTCGTCTGCAAGGTGCCTGCTGCGAAGCCTCTATCCACAGCCTCGTCCTGGGCCCACCTCGGCCCGGGACAGGTGCCCGCCCGCCCGCCTGGCCCCTCCCTCCACCCGGAAATCGCCCTGACCAGCTTGGCTCTTCTGTGGACAGAACATTCCAGACCGGCTCTGAGATGCCGCCACTTGGAGGCAGGAAACGGCTGTGGCTCATGAGCACACGCCAGCCACTCGGGGGGAGGGTTGGGCTAGCCCCCCTGGGGCTCCCCTTCGCCTCTCCCACCCCAGCCTGACTGACCGCCTAGGACAGCGGTTCTCAACCTGTGGGTCACGACCCTTTTGGGGGTCGAATGACCCTTTCACAGGGGTTGCCTAAGACCATTGGAAAACACATATATCATTACATATTGTTTTTGTGATTAATCACTATGCTTTAATTATGTTCCATTTGTCACAATGAAAATCCTGCATATCAGATATTTACATTACGATCATAACAGTAGCAAAATTACAGTGATGAAGTAGCAACGAAAATAACTTTATGGTTGGGGGTCACCACAACATGAGGAACTGTATTAAAGGGTCGCGGCATCAGGAAGGTTGAGAACCACTGACTTAGGACCTTTCCCTTCACTGCTGCCTTCAGGGCAGTTTATTTGTCACCACATCCACCTGCACAGCCACTGCCCTACCCACCACCTCCACCTCCCATGCCAAGGACTCCTCACAGCAGCCTCCCTTCACCACACCCCCTCCCTCTCCCCCCACAATCCCTTCTCCCAGAGGGATGCTTAGAAACAATTCGGGTCACCTCACTTCCCTGCTTAGTACCCTCAGTGCCTCCTTGTCCTCAGAAAACAGCCCAAAGCCCTCCCCAGGCGAGCCCCGCCCCTGCCCCCGTGGTCCAGCCACACCTTGCACGGGCCTGTGCACTTGCCGTCCCTTCTGCCCGGGACGCCTGGCCTCACCTCTCCAGCTGGCTAACTCCTGTTGGCCCTTCAGATGCCACCTCACGCATCACCTCCTCTGAGAAGCCACCCTGGTCTCTGCCGTCTGCCCCAGCACCTTGCTTAGCAGCAGTTGTCCCAGACCAGCGGCATCCCAGGGCCACTATCTGCTCCTTGCCGCTTCCCTTCCTCAAGGGCAGGGTTCCCAGTGCGTAGCACAGCAGCCAGGCTCCCAGTGCCCGCTGGTGTGTGAACTCAGTGTGTGAACTCAGCCTGGGCTCCCGGCCTCCCTCCCACCCTCGCCCTGCTGCGGCTTTGGCAACAAGGAGTGTGGGAATCCGGAGCCCCCAAGGCAGGGGCCGGCTTCCTTCCCTCTTCCAGGCCCGCAGGAAGCCCTTCTCAGCCGCTCCCTCCCCCAGCTGCCTCACACCCAGGTTTCCACTCTAGAGAGACAACAGTTCCAGGACATGTCATCACTCCCTTCCCTTGGGACACAGCGTGGCCGCCCTCCTCCCCTGTGCGGGGCCCCAGCGGGGCACATGGCCTTCCCTGGCCTTGCGGTGCGAGGGCCTCCAAGAGCAGAGTGAAGGTGAGAGGCGGAGGGAGAGCGCCCCCCGTCTTGTCACACCCACACTTCTCTGTCTCCCTCCTTTCCTGCCTGGCCCTTATTTCTTCTGCTGTCCTTTTCGGTTTCTGGTTTTTCTTTCCTCTCTCTCACATTCTCTTGCTACTGTTTTTTTGCTGATGCTCCCTGTTCTCATTCTGCTGTGTCCAGCCATGTGTGAGCGCGCATGTGTGCCCCAGCGTGAGTGTGGGTGTGTGCAACAGTGTCGAGTGTGGATGGGTGCATGAGTGTGGGCTCTGGGCAGGGCAGGGGAGAGGGTTCTGCCCAGAGCCTTGGGCACTGAGGGACCTCACACAAGCCTTAGGTGCCCACAGCAAGTTCCCAGAGATGGTTGACACATTGAACTCACTCACCTGCATCCCCCGTTTCCCCTGAGTGGCCCAGGGCCTCCCTGGATGGCAGTGCCCTAGGCCATCTGGGGCTCGGCCACCTCCTCCCTCCCTAGAAAGCCAGGATGGAGCGCAAGCGTCAGGGGGTCGCTGTCCAGCCCCTCACAGTCAGAGGAAGCTGGCGGCTCCCCAGCAGAGCCCGCAGTTCCTGACCGACCTGGGAATTCCAGCCTGGATCCTGGCCAGGGTCTGACTGGGCTCCTGTTGGCTCCCTGGCGGAGAAGGGGCCCCAGGCCATGCACGGAAGCCACTTCCCACTTGGCCTCCACCTGCCCCAGGGAACCCCAGAATCTGAGGAGACTGTGCCGGGCAGATGGTATAGTCAGCAGGGCTCCCTGGACTGGGAGGCTGCCGACGTCACCCACCAGTCCTGGGAGCAACGTCCGGAGCCCCCGGCACGCTAGCCAGGTGCTGGTGGACAACGACCAGAAAGAAATGAACTCCCCGCACGTCCAAGCGGATGGGCCCAGAGGCCGCCTGCTGCCATCTTTCCATCTGACAGGAGAGGAGAGACCGGGCGAGGCTGCAGAGGGGAAAGGACCTCCTCAGAGCCGCACGGCTGCCACTTCCCGGTGAGTGACTTGGACAAGCATGTTAATCTCACTGAGCCTCAGTTTCCTCATCTATAAAGCGGGGTCATGTCAGGTTATCGTGACATTTCAGTGACATAATGCAGGTAAAACGCAGTTAGCACAGCGTCCGCCACAGGCTTCCACACACTGGCTGCTGTTATTACAAACGGGTAGCACGGCCGCGGTGATGGGATGGCCCAGTCAGGGAGGGACCACGGGGCTAGGCTTTCCAACCCTGAATTCAGGTCCAGGCCCTCACAGTGTTTGAGCCTGG